TGGTTGTTGGTGCGTATATCTGAATGATAGTGGTATTCACTGGACTTCCTTGTAAGCGTATGGATATAATCCTGTCACTCATAATGTTGTACTTCAAGATGGATCTAGAAATTACTTTTTTTACTATGAAGGCAACCCCATTTTTCCTTGTCTTTTCATCTCCAGAGTAATATATCATATGGTCATTGTCCTTAATAGCACACATGAAATGAAATGAATATTTGTGAATTAATCCATTTAATATCTCTTTTCCCAAGAAGTCTGCCATGAAGGCAAGAACTTTTTTTATCTTGTTCACCATGTGTCTAGATGGTTCTGTCCTCTCAATTTAGTTATTTAACCTAAGCCCTGATTCTTCAGTTGTAAATTTCAGTGAGGATAAAAGTTCTATCCGCAAAGAAATTTTGTGTAGACTACGTATAGTTTCAAGGAGCTCTTTTTGTGTAGACTAAGTATAGTCTTGGGGAGTCCATAAGGATTTGCTCTGCAAACCCAGTGATGCTGCCTCTCTCATGTTTCAAATCCAGCTGTGACTCCAAGAAAGAAGGATAGTCTCCTCTCATGGGGACCCAATAGAGCATTAACTCTGAGTCAGTCCAAAGCCCACAGCAGTAAGATTGGTTTTATTGAAGTATATGTACCAGCATGCCTGGTACATTATAAGCAGGATGCTTGGTATATTCAGATGGATTGGATTCAGATTGGATATGTGAATTTATATATCAAAATACAAAGCTGGATAAGAAAGATTTCAAAATCACTGATGAATGTATATATGACTAGTAATTCAAGCTATCAATATAGATAAAATTAACCAGGTAAACAAATAAGGCCTAAACGGAAGAAAATTCTAAGAAAGTTGAGAATTAGGAAGAGGCTGATGGGAAAGGAGGAAGCATAAAAAACAGGTACAGAGATAAGTAATAAAACTAACTCATTAAGGGAGCTCTGGTGGCCTAGTGGCAGGAAGCTGCACTGCAATCCCAGAGGTATGTGGTTCGAATCCACCAGATGCTCTGCTGGAGAAGGAGGTTCAATCTCCTCCAGTACCAGTCAGATCTGATTTGACAATACACACACAAAGATAATAAAATAAACAAACAAACAAAAACAAAACAAAAACTAACTCATTAGCTGAAACCAACTCAAAGCTGACCCTCCGGTGGGTTTTTAGAGGCTGTAAATCACATGGGAAGAGATTGACCATCTTTGTCCCTCTTAGAAGCTGGTGAATTCAAACCCCTTGCCTTTGAGTTGACAGTGAAACTCCTTACCCACTAACTAATAGAACTCCCTGAATGGTTGGTAGGGAACCAGAAGACCAAAGTGTGGAGAATCAAGTAGGGAGAAAGATTGAGGAGAGACGGAGGGGTGAGACTTGAAGAATAACGAGGTATTTTTCTTCTTGTATCAGGAAGCTCTCTCAGCCAGCATTCAGAATAACTTCAGAGAATGGAATATAGTCTATGTTGTCTTGGTATTACCTTCCATTTTACTGAGTTTTGTGAATTATCAGGAAAATATTTTAAAAATCAATAAATTGAAGAGTCTGTTTCTTTGGCTGTTGAGCTTTACCCTTCCTGGTTCCGTGGGTTCCTCTGTGACTGTGTATACAACTCCAGTCACCATTTACTGAGTCCTGTGTACTGCAGCCAGGCTTAGTCGTTAAAATCGCCTTTTCAACTAAGAATTCTTTTTAGTCTCAGTTCTGAGGAAACTAAGATTCAGAAATGTTAGAAGTACCTTCTAAAAAGTTACGCATTCAGAAACTACCTGAGTGGGAACTTGAACTAGGTCTGTTTGAATTCACAATCCATGCTTATAACCACAATCCTGTCCGTGGACGTGCCATTGAACATTTCTGGGTCTTAATTTCCTTATCTCAGAAATGGAATCATTACTAACCCAATCCAGCTCTAATTATGTGAAATTAGTGACAAAATTAAAAGCCAGAGGTAAGTGTCTAAATAAGAACCTTCATTCTGGTGAATTTCAAGAGAAATGGGGGAAAAGAAAAAAGAAATAGAAAGAAACTTTTCTCACATTTGGTCTATGCTTGGGCCACCTGAATTCATCTTCTCTTTGGCAGGTACACCTTGACCCCTCCTGGAGATAGCCCATGTCCTCGGGTTGGCCACAGCTGCTCATATTTACCCCCAGTTGGTGATGCCAAGAATGGGAAGGTCTTCATTGTTGGAGGAGCAGATCCAAGCAGGAGCTTCTCAGATGTGCACACTTTGGATCTGGGTAAGACCAGAAGCAGTTGGAGTGGTGCCAGAGAGTACTGTCTGCCATGCCTGAAGTATTCTCAAGAATACTAGTTCAGACCATGCAGCAAGATTTTCTTCTAAAGAAATGAACTTCACTGACAAATCCCTAAGGTCTCATTTGACATCCTGCAGCCATCTGTCCTACTAATAACTCCTTGATTTGATGGAAAAGAGGCCTGCCCTTCAGTTATCAAATAGTTCTCTGAGAGACATTGGTAACTTCCTTCTCTCCCTCATCCATCCATGCAATCAATCACCAAGTCCTAAATATCCACTATATTCATGTCTCCCCACTACTACTGCTATTACTATGCGCCAAGCCACCCTCATCCTTCAACTAGACTTTAGTAACCTATTCCTTCATCTTCCTGCTTAATTCCAGGCAGTAATTTTCCATATTTAACCAGACGGTATTGTCTAAAATACAGATCAGGCTGTGCTAACTTGTTTGAAACCTTACCCAACTTTGTTTCTTATAGCTTCCAAGCTATTATTTGCCACACTTGAATACCCATTATACTCTCTAGTCTTCTAGCCTTAGTATATTTTTCTTTCTCCCTAGGAACTTCTTTTCACCTGTATACTATTCATCTTTCATATCGCAGCTTCAGTGTCATTTTTCTCAGAAAGTTTGCTGTGATATTCCTGGGATAATTAGGTTTGCCTGCCCTTTATTTCCATAGTAATCGTACTTTTCCACCCTATCCTCTATAACCTTAGTCACTATTGTTATCTTTCCCACAAGAACATACATTCCATGAAAATGGGACACAGGATTATTTTCCTTATTTTGTATCTCTAGCTACTACCATGCCATGGCCCCTGGCACAGGGTAGGTGCTTTATAAGTATTTTGATGAATAATGAACAAATAAATGAATGACTACTGTCATGTATCAGAACAAGTGTTAAAAACTGAAGACCCCTATATATGTTTTGTTAGATGCACTCACATAATGTGTTGTGTTGTTTTGTTTTTCCCCATTTTCCTTTTTAATTTATCCTGTTTTCCTTTTTTCTTGTTGTATACTGTCAAGTCGGATCTGACTGACACAGGAGGAGATTGCCCCTTCTTCTCCAGCAGAGCTTCTGATGCATTTGAACTGCATGCCTTCGGGATTACAGTGCAGTTTATTGCCACTAGGTAGTCAGAGCTTCCTTTATGTTAGTGTTTAAATGTCACTTGTTTGGCAAGTAAATGTCAGAAGACTTCAATGTAAATATTGAAATTTTTTTTTCCTTGATGATTTTGGAAGATTTGACATGACAAGAAAGATTTGGGGCTGAGTAGCAGCATCCTTCTATCAATGAGGCTGTCATTCAGTTTGCCATAGTCTCCACCACTCTTCAGAAGCTCACTGTGTAATTCAATTATGTCTCTATTGCCACTTAATAGCTTTGTGACCTTGGTCATCCCATCTAAACCATCTGAGCCTCAGTCTCCTGTAAAATGGAATAATAACCTGCTTCACTTGGCAGTTGTAATCATCTAACAAGATAATGCCCATAAAAGTGCTATATAAGTGTCTTTCTAAAATAATGAAGGGATTTGATAGTATTACTCTCTGAACTTAGTTTTGCCAGAAATCACCTAGTAACAGGTAACACACACCAACTTAAACCAGCAAAGGAGGATTTAATTATACAGATCCACGGGTGTTTTGTAGAACCCAAGGGCAGGAGATGCAGCTCAGTCTCAGGAGAGAGTAGAATACTATTGTAAAACCCATTTGTCGCTTCCTCTCTTTTTCTCTCTGGGCAAGACCTCCTTTACACAATAGGCTTTCTTTCTTTTTATTCTTTATCCCATTCTTTGACTTTCTCTGCTTCTCCACACATGGTGGAAGATGCCATCCAAATCCAGAAGTCTGTTTGAATTCCTAGTCCTTGAGAAGGAGGACCTGATTGATATAGCCTGGGTCAAGTGGCTGCTTTGATCCAATCAGTTAAAGCTAGAAAGTAAAAATAATATAGTAGCCTTCTGGATCTGACCTGTGATTAGAATAGGACAGAATTTTGTTGGGTTTTGTTTGTTTTTTAAATTTATTTTCATTGAGACCCTCATGTGCACTTTGTCTTACAACATTAAATATTTGTACAATGCCATTATTTACATAGTCTTATTGAAACCACACTGTGTCATCCCTTTCCCACTCTACCCATCCATTTGCTAATCTGTTCTCCCTTACCTCTCCCATCCATGTCGTCCTCTACCATATTTCTGTCTGTGTTTAAACCTTTCTTTTTTTATTAAAGTTTTTTTAGTTTTTATTTTATTATTTGTGTGTGTACCATCAAATCAGATCTGACTGGTACAGAAGGAGATCGTTCCTCCTTCTCTAGCTGAGCATCTGGTGGATTTGAACCTCGCACCTCTAGGATTGCAGTGCAGCTTCTGGCCACTACTAGCCAGAGCTCACCACATGTAAACCTTTCTTTAGTCTGTTTTTGCCTTGCTCCTGCCCCAGTTTGATCAATTACACATGTCTTGTTGCAGATTTTTAATTGTGAAACACATAATATCAGGACAGGAACTTTGTTTTTCTTTTTGGCTAAATAGAGTTTATTACAATGTATAGGCTTATAAGGGAGATAAGGAGGTGTGCACTCAGCCTTTAGCGATGACTTCTGTCACCAAGGCTTCTGGGCCAGTCAGGTACACATGAGTAGTCTTCGTAGGGAGTCTTTGCCCAGGAAAGAAGTTCTCTGCTGCCCAAGGCCCTGGTCCCCTGCTGGCCTTGGTCTGACCTGTTGGTCTGGAGAGTCAGAATCCACCCCCAGTGGAATGAGCCAGTTGTGGTTCAAAGACCACCTTCAGCACCATGCTAGTTCTTCAGTGTTCATACGTAAACCCAAAAGAAGAGTAGTGTAGAGATGGAGTAGACAGACAGCTTCCTAAATGGAACTTTTTGGAGATTGTATATATCTTTTAAGTGATTACTTGGCTATTTATTTATGGTGGTTTGTGGTGTGTGTTTTTTTTTCAGATTAATAGAATTTTATTACAAGAATCAGATCCATTTTGAAGTCAGATGCATATGATTTGACCGGCCTCATTTCTGTAGCTGGAAAACTCATAACTATCACTCATCAGCCTGCTGGACAGTTACTTTTTCGGAGACATGGATACCATCCAAAAATTATCTGATATGCTTTTTTTTAAACTGTTGTAGCTTGCTGAATCAAAGCAGCTGAATTTGATACAAGCTCAATGTCATTTCCTTAAAGAATTAACTCATCTTTCTGGGCTTGAGATACCGAACAAGCAACACCTGATCGCATTTGAACTCTCCGAATGTATTTTTCACCCAAGAAGTTTCAAATTTCAACCAGAGATCCACTCTCTTGAATCACAGCGTTGATATGGGGAAATGAGCATACACAGACCTCATCTTGTAATGAAAGCCCAGTATAACACTCTTGATCATGTTCCATACGTGGCTACAGATGGTGCGAACAGTAGCCAGTTCCTTCCTGTTTCCCCACCATTTGTCAACACGAAGCCTCTTCTTTTTCTTTCCGAGGAGACTGAGTTCTATATTGATGTGATTGAAGTCCCTCCACAAGGTTCCCCGCAGGCCTTTCACGATAACTGTGTGGCCCTTCAGAGTAATGTCGACATTCTCTGGAATGTCGACAGTCTGGTTGCTGAGAATGGTCTTCATTCTCGCAGTTAATTTGACAAAGAGCTATTTATTTATGTTTTAATCCTCCTACTACTCACCTCATGTATGTTCAGTATAAGCATTAAGCAACCATGACTGAGAATCTGGATGACTTGTTTTCTAGGTATACACCAGTGGGATTTAGCTACTGAGGAAGGCCTTTTGCCCCGGTATGAGCATGCCAGCTTCATTCCCTCATGCACCCCTAACAGCATCTGGGTGTTTGGAGGTGCTGACCAGTCAGGAAATCGGAACTGTTTACAAGTGCTGAATCCTGGTAAGTAAATTTACTTAAATAAATCCAATTCCAGTTTGTGTGCTAAAACCCATTTAGAATGTACTGATTATTAGCTTTGCTGGCCTACAGGTTATACAGGAATCTTACGTCCTAGGAGAAACTGAAAATAACAGTACTTACCTCATCTGGTAACTTATGCAGCCATCAATTCCTTAATGCCAAATTTAGAAGGGACTTCAGAAACAATTTTTCCAGGTGGGAAACTCAAATCCAGAAGGGGAAATTATGGCCAGTATCATCAGGAGTCAGTGACTGAGCCAGGCTAGATGTCATCTATAGCTGTAAGTAGTGAATAGAGATTATTTTGTTTCCTAGGGAATATTTGCCAATGTTTGGAGAAATGTTGCATACTGTAGGGATATATATGTATGCTCGCTGTCAAATTAAATTGTACCCAACTCATAGCTGACCCTCCAGTGAGTTTTCAGAAGCAGCAAATCACCCTGGAGGATGTTGCCCAACTTTCTCATACAGCAGCTTGTGGATATGAACTGCTGCTTGCTTGCCATTGAGTTGGCAGCCCTCCTCTCAGTTTGCTGTGTCACCTCTAGTGGGTATGTTATTGTTAGATGCACATGAGTGAACCATGACACATAGCTACCCTATGGACAGCCTATCTGTACCCTAACCTATACCGTCCTCATCATCTCCAGTATACTTGAGCCCATTGCTGCTTGTGGGTCTTTCTCTTACTACATCTTGTTGAGATTAAGGCCTCTTGTTACATCTGGCTACATTTTACTGAGGGTCATCTTCTCTTTTGATGACCCTCTACCTTACCAAGCAGGATGTCTTTTTTCACATACTCAGTACTCTTTTCCAATACCAAAGGCATCAATTAATTCTTCTTTTATCATTTTACGTTATTGTCCAATTTTCAGGTGCATAGCAAGTTATTGAAAAGACCATGTATTGGATTAAGTGCTCCTTAGTCTTTAAATTGGCACTGTTGCTTCTTAGAATTTTGGAGAGATCCTTGACAGCAGATTTTCCCAGGGCAATATGTCTCTTGATTTTTTTTTTA